GATTTGTGTTTTCGTAGTCGAATTTCGGACCCGGTTTTGTATTGACACAACTTTCACCGCACAACTTTTAGAATGTTATAGATATGAATATTATACACGATTTGAGTATTTTCTACGATGATTTTACCGGTCGGAATTGGTTCTACGCGATTTTAATTGAATAGAAAAATATCAGGATGTTATTTGATATGGATTCAGTATAACAATAGTCTTATATTGTTGTCATGAACATTCTATTATAATTTAGTGAATTGTGATTTTGTAGGTTTTTTTGTGTAAATCGGTAGACTGCCGTTACTCTGCCAAATTTTCGTAGGATTTCTGATTTTTCTAAGATTGATAGATTGAATAGATATGAATGTGAATATTGATATGATTGCTTTAATATTGACTATTGAATTGATTATTGATTGATTATTGATACTGGAACACAAGTGGAACCTGGTTGAACATTGGTTGGAGATTGAATTGACCTGTACATGATGGTGGGCCGACGGGCTTTCCATTAAATATTGATTATGGATATATGGATGGGAGTCATAAGGAGTTCTTATAGATATGCCGACGGACGGCCGATGGGCAATAGAGTGACGACTCTTTTTATTGAAACTAACGTATGAATATTTTACAACAGCAATATGGATTCTACAACAGCAACATAGCCAGTTGTTTGTACTTGTTCAGTATTATTGTATTGAATGCATGTTTACTGTATTGACATACGGATTTACTGCTTTATGGTTTTACTGCTTTATTGATTTGATCGGATTTATGGATTTACTGTATCGTACGATTTCATCGATTTCATTGATTGATCGCTGAGCATTGATATTGATATGGATGGATATAGATATTATATTGATTCATTGATGCTATGGACATGGATGGATATAGATATTGTATAAATGCATTGATATGGACATGGATATTATAGATTCATTGATATTATTGCTTATAGATTCATTGATACTATTGCTTCTGCACCATATTAGACTGTTGCATTTGATTCATTGCTAGTATAGATTGAGCTTTATTGTACTGCTTTTCTAATCGATTTCATTGACTTGATTTGATCGATTGATTCGATACGATTGATTTGACTAATCGACGGATTCTTCTGAGATTTGACGTACTTATTGATTGAGTTTGATTTATCGGTTCTTCTATCGCTGCATCAACTATTGATTTCATCGACTATTGATTTCCGTTCTGCATTAACTACTGATTTGATTTCCGCTGCATAGACTCATTGACCATTGACTGTTATGGATTCGATTGACTGAGATGCATATTGATAGCAGTACCGTGCTTTAATTTCAGTTGTAGGCTTTGGTGACCTGCTGGGCTATTTAAGCTCATTATATGTGGTTGACAATTTCAGGTCCGAGCAAGGCAACTGGAATGGAGTTCGATCAGAATGTAAGACGAATACTTTTACTATGGATGCCTGCGGCGTCACATCACCTTCGCCGGACCACCACCGGATCACCGCTTGAGGCCCTCACCTTTGCAGGACCACCGTCTGACGTTGTTGCTCCGTTGAAACACCACCTGAGGCCCTCACATTCGCTGGACCATCACCTGAGGTCCTCACCTTCACCGGACCACCGCCTGAGGCCCTCACATTCGCCGAATCACCATCTGAGGCCCTCACCTTCGCTGGACTACCACCTAAGGGCTTGAACTCTACCAGACCACCACTTGAGTCACTAAAACTCCGCCAGACCTTCAACTGACACCAGAGTTCTGTCAAATCAATGTTTGACTACTAACTGACACCCCAATTTTCAAGTGATGCCAGATTTAACACTAGACTTCAACCATAAGATTGATATTTTAATCTGATTGCCCTAAAAAACGAGTAAGCCCACTGTACTCAACTCAAATTCTAGTGAAATCTTTTCAACTGGGTTAGGCCCCGTGATTTTTTCCCTTTCCAAGGTTTTCCACGTAAAAGATCTTGTATTCTCTGTGTGTGAGCTAGATATCCGTGCATCGCTAAGACATAAAATTACAACTCTATCGTCGTATATATTCTAGCTCACAACAACGCTAAATAAAAAACATAGTCTCATTCATTTCTTTTTCACTCATCCAAACAGCTTAAAATATTTCAAATATATTATACTCTTTTTATATTATATTTCTTTTATGAGGAGTTCCTTCTTTAACAAATCAAACTGCCTCTTAGCCTATAGAGCAATCCGTGAATACAAAAATTTCTCTCTCATTTGAGATAAATTCATCCGAAAATAAACTTTTTAACCCATTTTCCTTAAAATAAAATATAAATCTCTCTCAAATTACGCATTCTATAAGGCATATAAAGCCAAAAATCCCGTTTATATTTACAAATAACTAAAATTAGTAAATTACCGGCTATGTAGGACCGGAAACCCGAACTTTCCAAGCAACCCGGACCAAGCAGAAGCACCGGGTCAACCCGGGAACCTGCTATATCCTATTTATTATTTGCCGTTTCGTGTTCTGAGTGAAACAGCGGATCCAGATAGTGCAGCGACCGATGACGCATCCGTCACAGCCGCCCGTCTTGGCGGGACCCACAACGACTAGTCAGCATGGCAGCTGACCTTTCCGTGTCGACCTGGCTCATAGCACGTGACACAAGTCGAAAGATCACGTGATTGCCATTGGCCTTACCGTCAAGAACGGATCCGCTGCTCGGCCACAACAGCGTCTCATCGCCGCAATCCTTGCTTGGTCTTCAGTCTAGATAGAGAAATAACAATATCCTAGTCTAGAGAGAGAATGAGAGAAAATCGGAGTCTCCTGTTGACTAAATTAGAGCAATTTGATTCGGCCGGATTGGAAACATTATTTTTTTTTTTTACCGCACCTTCCAACAATGATTTCAAAGATCCAAATTTCCTTTTTTTTTTTTTTGGTTTTTGGGGAAATTTAGATCAAAGATCCAAATTTCTAATCCAAGCATCAATGTTCAATTCCTCAAAGCATGAAAAAATACATAATTCGCCAATCTGTTCACCTGAAATGTTCCATGGCAGAGCATGAGAAGCTGAGAACACAGATACAATCTTTCCCGAAAGATAGAAAGCAGAGAGGAGAAGGGAAAGGAGTCAAATTATGAAAATCATTCAATTCACCTGAAGCTTTAGAGAATTTACTCAATTACAGAACGCAGAAAGAGAGAAGGGAAGAAGAAGAGTGCTGATGCTATAAAATTGAATCAGAGATCAACCAAATGGCAACTCAACCTTTTCTCCTGATGAAGAAGAAGACGACGAAAACACGAACCTGAGAGACTGTGAGAGAAAGAAATGAAGAGAGATAACCATCGATTTTATAAAGGCTACAGCAGCTTCATGATCAAGTAGAAGAAGTAGAGAAAACTTCAGAGGACGAAACAGGAAACAGAGAAAGCAATCTCGGAGGCTCGGGCGTCGTCCTCGGAGAAGGAAGGAAGTAAAACCCTTTCTCGGCGATAGCTCGCTCTTCGGCCTTCAACACGTCGCGATTAAAGGGGTCGGGGATCAACGGTGTGACGGGACTCAGCGCCAGCGATGGCAGATCTAGTATGCTCGGGGACAAGATCTCCGGCATCTTCCTCGGGGAGAAAGCTGCGGCGGCCGGAGAATTCGGGTTGGATCTACCGGCGAAAGACGGGATCATCGGACTGATCATTTTCAGGTTCTTCATGCTTCCCCTTCGTTCATAGAGCTTGAAAGCAGGCTTCTTGGGGCCCGTCGGCTTCCCAGTCGGCGGGATCGAGCTCTTCGGCGCGACTGCGATGGCTGCAGCTGCAGCGGCGGCGGTTTGCTTTGCGGCGGTTTCGGCGGAGCCGGTGAGCATCTGAACTACTTGCTTGAAGGAGGTGGTGTCGGCTTGGATGAAAGTAGTCGGGTATGGGTTCGGATCGATGGGTCTCGGGATTGCCTTGGGAGTCGCCGGAGCGGCAGCGGCGGCGGCAGAAACTGCCAAAGGCGGCACCTTTAAAGGCAAAGAAGCTCCATTGCTGCTGCTGCTGCTACTGGTACTGGAATTGGGAGAGGTCGCGTGAGGAGATGGGACCTCTCTCCCTCTCGGATATGAGCCGTTTTCCATTACCTAAACGTTCGTGCTAAAAATTGGCTTTTTGAGGGTGGAGAATAGCGCAATTAGGTTCGCGAAGGTAAGAAGAAGAAGGGAAACGAGAAAAGGGGAAGAAAGAAAGAAAGAGTGAGGTAGAAGAAGAAGAATGGGTGGAGGCTTTAAATCATCTCCTTCACTTTATCTGTGAATGTCCGGTAGGGGAAGAAAGGTTAAAATGATGTGGGATGTTTGGGCTGTGGACCAGGGCAAAGACATAAACCGGCCTGGCATTCAAATTCCTCATCTTGGAATCTCTCCCCTTCATCTCCATCATTGATGCCGATTCAAAGCTAAGCCATTGACTTTGGCATCCCTTTCTTTACTTGCCCTGGTGTGTCGGTCTGCCGAAGATAAGGAATTACAGTCATCATGACCAAATTCAATTTAACTAAGGGTAATAAAATTAATATAAATTTACATAAAATAATTTTTTGCTGACTAACAAGATGTTCAAAATTTTATTTTGATTTGGGATATGATGCATCCATACATTATTTTAGTTTTATATTTAATTCTTATTATGTATAGAGTTTTTTTTTTTAAATATAAAGAATTTATCATCGTAACATTGAATAAAAATCACGTGTATAATAAAAATAACATGAGCAACTTATATGAGATGTGGATTTTTTTTTTTTAATTTGATGGTGAAAAACTCAAAAGGCATGATCTAGCTTAGATAATTTTATTAGTGTGAATGGTACGTTATAAAGAATGATAATCTCGTTAATAGAAGGAGACTTGTATGGTAAAAATAAGAAAAGTTTTAAATTGTCATAGTGATTTAGATGATGATGGCCAGTGGGAATGCGTGGGATAAACTAATTCATTCTTGGAGATAATATGGAGAAAAATGGATGATGTTATGGAGGAGCATGGGGTGATGTTCTAGGAGCTTGTTAGTCTTGGCTAACCAAATAGGAGATGAACTAAGTGCAAAATAAATTGGTTTTTTTCTTACAATAGAGGCTAAAAATGGATGTTGATGATGCTAGGGTTGTAAAATACCATGGGAAAAAGACAATGACGGTGAGTCTAGTTTGGAATGTGTAGAAGCCCAATGAAACTATAGACAAATCCTATAACTAGTTCTTGCACTTGATGGATGGTGGAGAAGATGATTAAAATGTTACCGTAACGGATGATACAGTGAATGAAATAAGATGATTATTCTATGAGAATAAAAAATAGGATAACACACCTTCCTCGCACCAAAGACGTGTGAATGGTGAAACCCACCAAGCAAAATTCTTTTCATTAGTTTAAATTAAAATAAAAAGTAAAAATTAACACTATTCATAAGAGAAAAATATTATAAACATTATAAAAATTACACATTTTTCAATTCCTAACTATCAACTTGGACTTTAATCTTTTGATTAATCTCTTCATGGCCCCGTATGCTAAAGAATTTTTTCATTGTCACAAAGAACACTTCTCTAAAGAGTTGAATTCAAGATAGTTATCCACAATATTTGATGATAGTTACTATCTCCAAATCATATCTCCTTAGATGTTGGTTTCTCTTTTCATCTCACGATAAATATATGTTTGTATATTGATATGGTGTAGCACTTCACATGTAATAATACTCAACCTCTAAGAAACAAATGCCAATTAGATGGTTGCAAGTGATGATAATTTCATCTTACAAAATCATTATCATGCATATTTGGATGTTGACTAAGTCCTTTATATGATATAATTTCTTCTATGTTAAATGAATGGCTAATAAACATTTCCTTTATATGATGTTGAGGTCTTTCATTTCCTTTTAATATACTTTGATGTCAAATCCTTCAAAAATTTGTCTCAAATAATTGGAGTATAAACTTAGCTCTTTTATTAGTTATATTCTCGAAAATACCTCAAGATGAAATTATCTTTAGAAGCCAAACCAATTTGCTACATAGCTACCTAAAATGAGTTCAATTGATGTTTCTTCTATGTAATCATACTATGCAATTAATTCTATAACAACAGTCTTTATACATACTTTCGGTTGGGGAGTGCGATTTCCTTTGGTATTGTATACTTCCCTTTCATTTTCCTGTTGTTTGGCGCGTTCTTCTCCGGCCGTTCCGGCTGGATGGCGGTCCGTCGGGTTGAGGACCCTGGTTTTTTGGTTAGTTCGTTTAAATCTAAATCTTTTGCTGAAGCTTTATCTGGCTCTGTATCTTCGGAGAGATTTCCTGATCTCCGGCTTGGTTCTTTCCGAGGTTTACCGTCTTTGTGGATTTCGGAGGAAGAAATTTGTGCGCTTTCTTTGCCTTTTCAGTTTGCCTTAGTTGGTTTTTTTCCCACTAAACGCCCTTCTTTGGATGCCATTCAAAAAAAAAAAAATTTTTCCTCAAACTCAAAGCGGAGTTCTCTGTCATAGTTCTGGATCAAACGCATGTTTTGATTAAATTGTCAAATGAGCTTGATTACAGCCGTGTTTTTTGCCATCGATCTTATATGGTGAACTATTGTTTTATGAAGATTACGAAATGGTCGCCTATTCTGGACATTGGATCTGAATCTCCGGTCATTTCAATTTGGATATCCTTCCCCAAACTGAGGCCTCGTCTCTTTACTCCCTGTATCCTTCACGCTTTAGGTTCAATGTTTGGCAATCCTTTGAAGGTCAACTCAGCTACTTTGGTTGGTTCTCGACCTTCTCTCGTGCGTGTTTTAGTCGAACTGGATGTGACTAGGACTTATCCGAAACAGATATGGCTAGGTCCTGAGGATTCTGGGTATATTCAAAATGTACAATTTTAAATTTTCCCTGATTTTTGTGAGTCTTGCAAATGTCTAGGACACCTTAAAGGTCATTGTGCACCCTATGCGAAGCATTTTCTGAATTCTAATCTTCCTCTAGCTGAGAATGTTTTTGCTGAGGCTCAAGATGTTGAGAACCGTAAATTGAATGAGAATGAGGTGATTTGTAATCCTGTTAGTGTGATGCCTCATCTGGATTTGGTTGTTCCGTCTCCTGTGGTGGAGGCCCCTTCGGTCGTTACCGAGGTCTTGGTCGAGTCTCCTATTATTCATGATGAGCTGCATCTGGAGGGTGTTAATGTTTCTAATTTAGAGGTGTTGCATAATTATGAGGGCTGTATTGTGGCTGAGCCTGTTATGGTGAATATAACTCATGAGGTTTTGACTGGGTCGGTTTCTGATCTTGATAATTTTGGTTTAACTAGAGAGGTTGTTGGAGGGAATGTATTATCTCCAAATGCTTTGCCTTTCTTTCCCCCTGTAGCTACGCGCATGAATGATTTTTTGTTGCATTTGGGAGGTCAGGTAGCTTCTACCCCGCCTAATGGTGTTGACCCGGATGTTAATATTCCAATTGAGGTCCCTGTTCTGGTGCCGGAGGTGGGCGCTGATCCAGTGACTGCTGAGATTTCTGATGGTTCGCCGACTCTGGGTGTAGTAAATTCAAATGGGGGTGTACAGCTTTTAAAAAAATCTGTAGGTGGTGCTGATGGTTTTGTGCCTCTGGGCAGGGTGGAAGGTTTTCCTTCTACCAATAGTTTAGTTGATGTTCCCGTAAATGAAATTGATGCACAAGCAATGGCTACCTGTGTGGGTAATTCCTCTGGTTTGGTGATTCGAAAACAGGGTGATTGGCTTTGTGATTCGTCGGATGATGAATTGGAATCTGAACTTCATGAGACTGACAATGATTTTTCTCTTAAGTATACTACAAATGTTGCTACTCGAGGAAAATTTTGGGGGAAAAGTCGACGTAGACGTTGAGTTCTCATTTTGTTATGTTGTTCTTCTTGATGTTCCTCTTCCGGTTCGCTTGGATTTATTGTTCGACTTGCAGCGTTATGAGGCTAAGGGCAATGATGTGGTCGGGGCTAGCGTCCCGGTCCTTTTTTTGTTGGTGGCAACCGTTGGTGTGGATTTTGGGACGACTTGGGATGTGTTCTACACTAACTGGACGGTCCGTGCGGGACATCGTGGACGCTGGAAGCCTTGGCCGTTTTCTGAGCCGATGTTTTAGCTTGTATTTGTTTCTTTTTTGTTTTTTGTGGTCTTTTTTCTACTTGCTTTTACTTTGGCTGTAACCTTTTTTGGTTTTTTAATAAAATTTTATTTTGAAAAAAAAAATATTGAAATTTCATTAAAAAAAAATCAGTCTTTATACATACTTATAAATAGGGTCAGATTCGTTGGTCAAGAACACATGCAACATCATATCTTAGAACTCTATCATATTAATATCCAATAAAAACTTTCTTGTTGAACTTAATCTATTTTTCTAATTTAAATTTATGATTAAAATATTCTCACTATATATGAAAACTTTTTTAAAAAATTTAATCATTTTTAATGTATGGTTGCACATCCTTCACTAGCTCATCATGATATTGTGAACAAAGGTGAAGAAGCTTCCAACCAACAATATGAGAAGCAATGATGATTAAACCAGCTTGAATCCTTATGAGAACCCAACAATAATTGCATTAATCATTAAATCTTGGAATCCTTCAAGCAATAAGACGAAACTTAGTCTTCATTCATTTCATATTTGGAAAGTATGCCATTACTTTCAGTAATTATTGAACTTCTAAAAATGTAACTTGTAATAATACTTTGTATTTATTTATTTATTATAATTAAATTCATTTAAATTTGATTTTTTTGTAAATCAATCTTCAAAAAGATTAAAAAATATATATATAATTAAAAAGCTCAATTAACATTAATTATGAAAGGGATTTGCTTTGACAATTTGTTGATTTGTCTAAAATCAAAATGTCATTTTGGTAAATTTTCTTTCCAAAAAATAGAATGGAAAGTGTGAAGGCAATTTACTTTTCTATTTATACAAAATATTTATTGTAGCCTACAATGTGGATGAGTTTGAAAGAACTCCTAAGAAAATAAAAAAATTACAAAATTTGAAAGCCTTCCTTTTTATGTAAAAAAAGAAAAAAAAAACTATGCATGCATTTGCCTTATTACATATAATTATATAGCTAAGTGGTAATAAATTCTAGGTTGCTACTATGCCTATTATGTGAGAAATTATTTCGTGCGGAGTCCGGACGGGAAAGATCCGTCTAAATTGTGAGTGTAAACACTATATATATACAAACAGTGTCTATACAGTTTGAACCAAAGTGTGTACAAAAATTATAAACAGCGTGTACACTCACAGTCTGGACGGATCTTT